AACTCCCTTAGCACCCCGCTTTGTTCTGGATATGCATTCCTTCTATTATGATGAGTCACCTGAAACGGTGTTTACCAGTCCGGTACATGAATTTTCAGAAGAATTTAAGATTCAAGAATTCGACATTATTGTGGCGGGGGACCAGCGGTTTCTGTCTCGAACGCCAATTGCCAGAGCCAGTATGATAAGGTGCCGACTATGAGAGCCTGTGGTGCTGCTTGGAGACGACTCTGAGCTACGGGAATGGAGTTTTTAGCTTAAGCCCGAAGAGGGTGTTCATGGGGTTACGAGAAATCCTGGCTCCATGCGACAAGTTGGAATGGAAGGGTAATCGGCTGGTGGGATACTTTCTCACTGGCTGCTTTCAGACGGGGGACGGTACGAAGGTGCGTCCGAGGACGCGCGCTGCAACTTTCGCGGCGAAGGTCGTGACGATTTGTATGACTCTGACGCCAATTTTTGGGGCACAACTCCAAGTAGAGTAGTTTATTAGGGTCAGATGATCCTTCTAATCTATTCTACTTCGAATTTGGGCCCCAATGATAGGCGCTAAAGTCGTTCAAACAGTTACCAACTTCGCCGCGCAATTTGGCGCGCACATCTTCGTACACATACCCCTTTTAGGGGAGGCGGTCGTTTGNGACGGACGGTCGTCGAAGTCGGAAAGCGGCCACTGACTGGTGAGAGGGTGCGGGTAAGGGTTCAGAAAAATTACTGGCTCTTCCGGCACTTCCACCTTCCTGGTCAGTTACCGAACTTATTTGGTATCAATGCTTACTACCCAAACGGTTGAGCTTCAGAGTATATCGTTTGCACTACCGTAATGTAGTATAGCATACACCTAAGTGAAGGGTCTATCGATCAATTTTCCGATTCAAAAATGCGTCAACTCGGTGGCTGGCTTGATCCTTTAATTATTGGTGACATTTGTTACTTTTAATCCTATTTGAGTCAGAAAACCCAATACAATCGCTTTGAATATTGCTACCATACATTTTTACTATCGTGATCCTTTCGAAGATGAGAAGGTTCCAATGGGTGACTTGGATATGTAGGTATTGAACTTATTTAACTCTATAACCCTATAAAACGCTGCAAGCTCACCCCATCTATGCTCCTGTGGATTTCTAATAGTAGATTCTCAAACTGTAAGAATCGTTAACCTCGCAAGTAACCCTCTTTTTTTTGTCAGCACTAATCTAGCCAAGTGAGTCTATCCTTGAACACCCTCGACGACAGCCTACTACAGATGGTTTCCTGATACTGTACTGCCAACTACCAAGTGCAGACATGTTTTTGCCTCATCTGTACAGGTTTCAGGAGAATTCTTGTGATAACTGTGATAGCATGTCAACGCAACCACAACCTCAGGCGTGGCTATCTTATCGCCGAGACTTTTCCAACGTGATCATCGAAGTGGGATCTGCGGTAAGGTTCATTTCAACTCAGCAGCGCCGCTCGACACATGGGGCGAAAATTTCTAGAAGGTAAGTGTTTAACGTTTCAGTAGCTTCTGTTCATTCACTGCGGATGTTCACTTGAAATTAGTACGATTCTTAGGTGCCTTGATGGAAACGATTGCTTTTTTGCTGCCAGTCATTCAAAAGTCTGGTAACTTCGGTATTTTCAGGTGGAAGCACTTCGCGTTCCACGTCGAAAGAGCGAACCACCACCACGGCTTCTTCTTCGAAGCCGCAGAGTGCTGTGTCGGTGTCGAAGTCCAGAGGCCGAAGCTTTACGCCTTCTGCGTCCACAGGACGGACCCCTGCTATTTCTGCATCTAGGACAGAGTCGAAGTTCGAGGATGTTCAAGGTATGATACTTCTTCCAGATACTCTTTTAGATAAGTAAGCTGCTTGTGGTCACTAACAGAAGTAGAACTCTAATATACATTTGAAATGGTGCCCCGCAAGTCTTAACAAGTTCTGGGGAGTGCAAGTCTTAACAGGTTTTGGGAAGTGTGAGATGTGATCCAGGTGGGGAGTGATATGATAACGATAGGACTAACCTATTTTAACATGTAAGCTGCATGTGATGATAGGACCGCTTTCAGCTACTATCAGGTTGATACGGAGTCCTTGTGCAAGTTGAAGTCGAACACTAGCGCACTATTCGAAGAAACTTGGTCTGTCGAAAGATCACATTTGACTTCCATTCAGGATCGTAGTGGGGGTTTGAATGCGTATGTGTAATGTATAGCGACGAAGACTCTGTAGATAAAGGACAACACATGTTCATCAGTGCTTCAAGACTTGATACGTTTACACTATTACTATAAGGACTTGTTGAGAATACGGATGAAGCTTGGCGCTAGAAATCTTTTTGTCTATCTCGTGAGATAGCTGCTATGAACGGCTGTAAATTATAACGATGCTGTGCAGGGCGGCACACCAATAGACGAGGAGTTCGACGCGAGCTTCGATTAAAAGGTGCTTTACAAATGATTGCGCACTGATAGTTGCGATCCGACCCTCTAATGGAACTAGGTCGTGCTGATCAACATATACTGGGGTTACAGGAAGACCACTGCCATAAAAAGGTAAGAACACCCAGCTGGTACGAGGTGTTGCAGCCTGATGAAAATAAGTAACGCAACGGCGACCGTTTCGGAATGGAGTCATGATATTAGCGCAGAAGAAGTTTTCTATAGATAGAGTTCGGGATGTTTCGAAGAAATCTTAAAATGGAGATGAGCGTTCGTCTACAATGAGTGATTTTCGGCTCTAGATACCACACTGCATGCCGCGACTCGTTAACATAGTGAATTGAGCTTTCCTTCATAACGAGTACCAGTTGAATGAGTCGAATCACTCGGCCTAACCCGAACCCTCCTTTTCTTCATGTCGAATTTGGCCTGCTGCCCGCATCCCTGATGAATTTGCATGCTCAGGTACAAGGGAACAGGAGTTATGAATTTTTGGGAATACACTTACACACACCCCGCGACACAATTTGTGATCGTCCTTCCCGTCGCCAACGGAACCCTGCCGCCTACCGGCGGCGTTACTTTCATCCTGTCGCCTGCACCCTTCCAAATTTGAATGCTCTTGATCCAATAGATCCATTACCACCAATTGTCAGAGTTACTGCCCTGCCGCACCCACCCCTTTTAAATTTACACGTCCTATTTAGAAAATAGGAGTATGAAACAAACACACACCTACCTCCGACACGTACAATGCGCGAACACATGCCGGCTCCCACCTACACACTCACACACACCCTCAACATAGTAAATTGCTATTCATTCTTTTATTCTGCTATAATTTTCAGTCCCAGATGCTGAACAGCCAGGAGTTCCAGACGCCAGGCAAGCAACAACTAAAAAGAAAGGTGAGTGTTCAACATGAAGTCCGCCGTACTGTTGCGTATAGATTACCATAAAGTCTATATGATCTTATTCAAATCTTTCTTTTTATATCTCGTCATAGTAAAGAATGTGATAGGAGATACTGACTATTAGCAAAGCTGCAAAGAACAAAAATCGGTTGCCATTAATGTGAATGCTTTTTTGGGGTAAAAAAGTCTTTTTCCTAAAAAAAAAACAGTTCAAAAGCTGATCTCATCTATTGAAAGTCTCTCATTGAAGCTCTTTTCTTGGTTAAACGAGGTTATCCATCATATACGTAAAGATAGTTATCCTTTATTGTGAAGTCCTGGAAGGTCCAGTAGGCGGAGCCTCGATGAAGTTACTGTAGAGAGTTCGAACACTTATCCGCAAAATTCTGCTCTAGAAATGAGCGGAGTAAATCATACTGAGAATAAATAAAATCAATGTGCTAGAAGAGTCGCGACTACTTTTGTAGGTACACTGTCCTTTTCTGAAAAGGCTTGCGACTGTCTTGTATTGTGAATGTTACTTTCTTGTACCATCATCGGCTCGTAACTGTTTAAATGTGTAGGTAGGCAAGCATAATTTGTGGTGACTAGCTTCACATAAGTCTTCCGGGAGTTGTAGTAACATCTGCATACTTCAGACCACCTTGTGGTAACTCTGCTTGACAGTCATGTTGCATTTGATGGCGTTATTTGGCTTGACGTCTGGCTTGCTCTCGTGGTGGTTCATCTTACTAATCACGTGAAAGGTGTTGGTGATCTCCGTGGAGTTGTTACACGCAGTCCACAGTTTCCAGCCATGTTCCGGGGGGTAGGGGAGAATTTGATGTGCTAGTTCATTTAGCACAACAGTTCGTAAAGCACTAGAACTGCCGCTGAGTACCTTCCGCACTTGCAACTGTCCATGACAGATGTTCACCCCTATCTGGGCCTGTGCCGTTCTTTTCGAATTGCAGAATTGCTTTTTTGTTTGGTCTCACCCGTCTATCAAGTGGTATTTTTTTGGGTCCTGTCTGACAGTAATAACCAAAGTGGTTCTGAGCCAGCACTTTATAGCTCATCTTCTCAATTCATTTTCTGCGTGCAGCAGCTTGGCACAGCTTCACTTGTGAATTACAATCATTTCAGAACCAAGGCGTGGCGTTGTCTATCATCCACTGAAACCCGATAGGGATGTTCACTGTGAGTTATTTTTTAGTTTGTTCTGTTACCTTTGCTAAAGANCCACGTATGTTGGTTCTTTATTCCAATATCTTTTTTACGTTTCATTTTTGACATAATGACTCTCCGATGTTTATAAAAGGCGACACATTAACTGTTCCATAGAATTGGTACCTGTACGCTGCGGTTGTATTTGAACAGTTCTCTTACTTAAGAGCGTTGCTCCCATCTCCCCAACTCAGCCAGTTCAGCATTCGCTTTCGTGAAAGCAACAAATAACATGAAACTTCGCCCCTTTTGTGTCGTGTATCCTAATCAGGCCAAAAATCAGAAAATAGGAAACTGTAAGCTGGATGCGAGATCTTGCAGTGACACTGGAGCGGGAAAGATCTTGTAGGGAAATTGACAGGTAAAGATGATTTTTGCCCATATTTACATTGAATATCTTCTGTCTAAAACAATGTTTGCAATGGTTTTTCGAAGTAGGTGTTAGTACAGCAGGCTGCTGCCAACTCCAAAAAAGAACTCGGAACTGTTCGAGGATAAGTCTCGAAGGAAAGAGAGTTACTGCGAGAAGTCGTGTAATGTTTATTGAAAACAGACTCTCTCTCAGAGCCATATTTAAATTACTTATTTTTCGGCGTCACCCACCATAAGTGTTGCCATCCTGTCTCCTGTGCTCCTACAAAATTTGAACGCTCTAGTTCCACTGGGACAGGATTTATGAGTTTCCGCTCAAACTTCGCCCCCTGTGGGCGGAGTCTGGTCCTGCCACCCACTATAAGTGTTCCGATCCTGTAGCCTGCACTCCTGCCAAGTATGGGCTTTCGTATGTGCTTTCTAGGTCCACGGGGACAGAGTTATGATTTTCCAAAATATTTTCATAAAGCATTGCATTTCTGGAAAACGCCTCGCCCATCTGGGATGGGTCTCTCAATTCGATCTAAGTTACTAATGCACACATCTAGCCACCTTTGAACCCCAGTTTTGAAGCCATTTGTGACTGAATTTGAAATCATGGTCCTTAGTACAGCTCATTTCGATGCGCGCCACGCCCACTCCAGACCTAACGGAGCTAAGGAATTTCGTGACGGAATACAGACAGAACGACAGACCGAACGACAGACAGACGACAGTAGAAGCGCTTCATAGTATGAAGGATACTTCTGAGATGTTGTACAACACTATTATAAAAAGCAATGGTGACTTCAATATTGGAAGCTATTTCTGGAAGTTTTTTCATCTCCTTCAATTTTTCCTGCTTCTCTAGAGCAGTCTTCTAAAACGGGACGTGTTTAGATCCCGGTTATTCGAAGAGCGGGACGGACAGCCTCGAAGACAGGAAGAGAAGATGTTAGTTTTTTGTTTATGCTGAAGTACTCGGAAAAGTAAATTTGAAGAATTCATACATTAGGAAAGGAAAATTTTCATAGAGTTCATCAGAGGACACTGCACATTAGGTACATAAAACGAATGTGAGAGGATACTCCGTTCAAAAAGTGTTTCAAAAAATGGCTATTGCCCTAGTTCATCTTGTTTCTTCAAGATGAATCTAACACATTTCGCTGGCCCTAACCGGAACCCGCCTAGTTACCGGCTGTGGGGTCTTTGAATTTGCAGATGTTTTGCATCCCATGCCTTTAAGAAAGCCATTTCTGCCTCAAAGCGAATTGTTTAGCGTCGCTCTCGGACGAATATAAAGCCAAAGCGTACAGAGAGGCGGAAAAACAAAAAGAAAAGTTTGCTCATCCGACAGCAGACGCGTACTCTCCAGAGTAAGTTGTTTGTGTAATCATTAGAGTTTTACAAGATTTTGGTATACGTACGAGTAATAATACCGAAATAAACTAGCAATAGCAGTATCACTGGAAATATTCACACTAATGCAAATGAGACAATATAATTTGGTGGTTAACGGAGTTTCGAGATTAAAGAGTAGTTGGGACTTGTAATTAAGGGATAGGTTTATCGGTCAATATAGTAACTGCCATGTTGACTTGCATGTTTGGAATTAAAGTTGCTAAAGTCACCAGGCCTTGACATCATATCCATACGCGCTTAATATATTTAATTTATTTTTTTTCAATTCATTGTGAAGAGCATTACCTACTCCCGATAGTTTTGCACAAGATGCTGTTTTGAGGTACGACATATTAATGATACTCGTCACCGGTGTGCTAATTGTTTTGGTGGTGGTTGCAATCTTTTCAGTGAAAACAGCTCCGGTCGAAGAGGTCAGCCTTACCACACTTGTTTTGTTTTTTTTTTTCAATTGAGTCAGTTGATTGTGCTCTCACCATAGTTTTGTACAAACAATAGCCGTTCAACGCGGGGTAATAGAATATATTTCCTTTGAGTAATCTAATAAGCTAAAGAGTTATCTCTAATAATTATTTGGTTCTAAGAGCGATTATTGAATAAATAAGTGGGGAATAACATTGTCTCAAGAAAACTTATTCACTGATAGTAGTAGTTGCTTGCGTTAAACTATGTTACCATCATAGGGTGGACAACTTACTTGAAGTCGCCTATACTCATAGGCCCAGAGATAAAACACTTATTACAGCCGGGAGAGGACCCCGCCATTTTTGACATCAGTTACAGCCAAATAACTATGATCACGGAAAATATCGATTGCTCTATTCACATGAAGTAAGTATTTCACATTTGCCAGTACTTGTTTCTAATATGAAACGCAGTGTTCGGATTTTTTCACTACGGGTGATTATCATTCTACAACATTAGATTTGGCTTGCCATTGAACTGAGCAAATGAGCTTCCCGAGGTGTAGTTATTTTCATTTAGCTCTCAACGTGGTGGAGGTGGGTGAAGGGATATTTCTGGCTGTGTTGTGTCACTGTCGCGAAAGTCAAGCATGAGAACATGCTACCCCAGTAATCCGGCTGTAAAGCATGGCTCTTGCCGTGGCGCAACACAGCCCGGTGACTTCCCTATCCACTCACACCATTTCCTGAGTGGTGGCAATCATACCTGAGTTTCCATCTTCTCACCCAAAGTTATTTCGTTGGATCAAATGGACGCATTCATGCGTTTTCCCGCAGACTGGTGCGTTTTCATGCACTAATTTGCTTGAGGACGCACTAGTCTGCTAAAAGCGCACGTACATATTTTTGTGAAGACGCATTAGTGGTTGCTTTAAGATTACAATCGTCCGTCTGTCCATTCGTGCGCCGCGTGTGTGCAGCGACGACGGTTCTAGACAGGTGTTGACAGCGCTGGATACCGATCGATACCGCATGACGGAATCCCAATGTCTTGCGGTATCGATCGGTATTCAGCGCTGTCAATACCTGTCTCGAACCGACTTCGCTGCACGCACACAACGGATGGACGGACGGACGGACATTGTTAAGTCGTTGAAGTCTGAAAACAACAGGCTTAAGCAAAATGCACATATCTGCTTAAAAGCGCACATATCAGCGTAGAACCGTGGGAACTTTAAATGCGCCCAATAGGTGACGGGATTAGAATGTGTATTCAGCAGAATTATACAGTGATTTGAAATACGATATTCCTAGAGTTTTGCATTCATCCATAGTCCTATTATATCGTACCGTCATTGTGAGGAACGGGTTTCAAAACCGAGTTAATGTTAACTCGGCGCTAAGGACTGCTTTCATAGTCCACGATTTGACCCGCGAGCGATCGAGGATAGGGGCGGCGCTTGGCCCTTGTTCACAACTGAACCTTGGTCGATACTGAACCGCGTGCAAGCGAAGCCCCAATCGCTCGATCGCTCGCTCGCTCGCGGGCCAAATCGTGGACTATGAAACAGCGAAGGGGAAGAGAATGAGGGCAGCCGGCGGGCTCTGCGGGATTGTGACAGTGCTCTGAGGCGTTTTTAGCCAAGGGAATATAACTTTTTAACTAAGCCTCAGGAGGGGAGAAGCACAGCGGGGTGGGTGAGTTGATTATCTGTGCAAAGAGCTGTATGGGGGAAGAAAAATGAAGGTTCACCCCCCATTAAAATGAAGGTTCACCCATTTCTTCTCAGAGGTGTAATGGGTGATGGTAATCAACGATACTCAGCAGTGAGTAATGCTAACGATGATAAATCAAAATTTCCGAACGAGGCCTTGTCCTCCAATCAGACACCACCGAGCGTTTTTTTAAAAGAGTGTTCAAGGGCAGAATTAGGCGTTCCTTATGATTTGTCTCGTCAGTAGTGTGAAGATTTATGCTCGAACGCTGCATCCTTTGCATACCATTAAAACAGTAATACGGGCAAGGGAAACGCTCAATGTGTACATCAGACTTGGATGATTGTAGCGCGATTTCATTAGGTGGTTATGGTCACTACAGTATGGTGTCGCGTGACGACTATATTGGAGATTAGCGACAGCTGTGGGTGCGTCCGTGTGAATTCGGGCCGGAATTCCGCCATCCTTTCGCCTCGCGGCAGGCTTCCTCAACTCAATTAGAGAGGTCCAGCGGAAATTAACAAACTTACACACGGGTGGCAAGCGTGGAAATTAAAAGTTTTTAATGACAGACGAACGGATGATTCAAACGTATCGGTAAGTAAGATGTAGGTAATAAATCGAGTCAGTAAACTGCTGAAAATGGAAGGCTCTCGCTGATGTAAATCTTCTGGATCCTTTCAGATGTGTCAATGGCTTGAATATACTCAGGGTTGTAGAAACATTCGATTGT